TCGTCTTGTCAAAGTGCTCACTGTACATATTGTGCTCATAACACAATTTACTTTATGATATAAACTACAATATAAAAGATAAAATGTAAGGATTCATTTAAACTTTGATTTCATATAAAGTCTCAGCTTTCACAGCTTACTAGCGATATCGCTAGCTATTAATAGTCTGACACTGGTGGCTAATTAAGATGCCAACATAAAGCTAAAAATGACCAAAAAACATACAGAAACAACTGTTCAGTCTTACCTGTGAAAGATAATACCCCGAGATCTGTTTATTATTGTGCGACGGTTTGTAGATGCCCAAGCTGCCGACGAGTCAGGTATGTTTTCGCCTGTCCCGATATGAGAGTTGCCCGCACCAATATGGCGGCGACGTTGATGTGCGGTCGAGCGGCCAATGAGGCGTCTAGGTATTTATTATGTCTATGCTATCAACCATATGAATAGAAACAGTTGGTGGCGGTATGTGCCTATGGTGCGGAATACGCCAAAAAATTCCAAAGAAGAAGAAGTACGCAGGGTGCCACGGTCTGGCGTCATTTCCGTTTTGATGAGCGCGCCTTGCACGATGCGCGCTCGATTCTTTGTAGCGTTGAATCATAAGACAATTTGGGGGGAATTCAGTTGATTTCAGATTATTTATGACTACTAATAAACGATTAACTGCAAGCTGATATATTAACAATACTCTTTAGTTTTATAGATTTGTGATCGTAGGAAGATCTGACATGGTCTGGTATGTATGATTGTCCTTGATAACTACATTATATTTTAACATAAAACAGTGATAAGATATGCTGTAGCGTACTTTTATGTATTGTGCCTATTAATATTACATGTTGCGCATATATTGCGCACCTACAGGAACATTTATAAATTGTGTATAATATATAAAAAAGTGATGTGCACATTTTGTGTGCTTTGAGCTAAACATCTATCACTACCATTAAATGTCTTTACTAATATAGCCTCTAAGGCCTGTTTTTTCAGGAAGTGTTTATTGTGGCAGCAGCTGCAAACATGCATGTTTAAATCGGATGAAGCGATACAGTGGTCATAGCGATACAGAAAAGTATTTAGACATTTAAGTCATAGTTAAATTGTCAAAAAAGTTACTAAATGACGTATTGTTTGTTTGATGCCACTTAATTTAATTTTGTCATCTAATTCAGTGACATTGAGACAGTTTTGAATGTGATTTAAGTGTCTATATGTAGTACTTTTTGTTGCCACTATGTAGTCATGATCGTAGTCATGAACCACTGCTCTAGTGTTCTGTTAACTGTTAAAAGCTCTCTCTAAAAATGGAACGCGTACAATTACATAAGTAGTGATTTCAGCACTGCATGTTATTTGACTTAAATACTCATGAGGTGACAGAGTACCATTGAAGTAAATTTAATTTACAGCCTTTAGCACAAATGTACAAATATTGTGCTCTTTGCTGAATTTTGAGTATATTTCAAAGTGTTCATTACTAATCTTCAGTAGAATCTGAATTAAATGCTTTTCAATTGAAACCAATTTCATCTTTGATTTTTTATCAGATATCCATGGTTGCAAAAAAAAAAAAAAAAAAAAACCTAAAAATAACCATTAGGTAACGTTTTGGTAACGTTATTTTATGGTTATAAAAAAATATAACCTAAAAAGAACGTTCCCCTAACGTTAGTATTTGGTTCCCCAAAAAATACCCAATCGGGAACCAAAAACTAACGTTAGGGGAACATCCTGTGTTTGCTGGGCAGTGTCTTCCTACCTTAACCAAAACACTTGCATTTAAATCGGGATCCCCCACCTCTCTCTCTGTCGCTCTGTGTACCTGGCCTTTACCACTACACTCTGTGTTTGGGCAAAAAAATAAAAAATAAATAAATAATAATAATAATAATAAAAAATAAAAAAAAAAAAAAAAAAAAAAAATATATATATATATTAGTACTTTTTCTATCTCATTAAATGGAGTGATGTTTCTCCTCCAGTCATGGTGCCTGACATCACAATTATATATTTTACAGATTTAGTATGGTTATCAGATGCAGGTCATGGAAGACATTTTTCTTTTTTAAATACAGAATAATAATTTTATAATTGAATTATTACATCAGTTTGCATTTGATTTATTAAACTCTTAATATTAATATGTACTTATTACTACATTTTACATAAGAGCTTTGCAAAATGTAAAGTTTAGATTTTTAGTGCAAAGCAACCTTAACAATTAAAGACCAGCTGTTTTATTTTTTGTCACATAATAAAGTAAATTGTGGATTTCCAATAATTTCTTATCTCACATTTTTGTGACAAAAGATTTAATGTTCTGACTTGTGATTGCCCCTGTGTTGTAATTTCCCCCCGTGGGATTAAAAAAGAAGAAAAAAACAATTAGGCATTTACTTTATATGCTGATTATGGTGTTATTTGTGAAATAGAAAAAAATAGGGTATGGCTGGTCTCAATAGGGTTATTGCCCTTATACTAAAAAAATAAAAACATGACTAGTACAATGACAGATTTTCTAGAAATGTTACAACTGTCAAATCAGAAATAAATTAAAATTGAATTTCCACTGTGCTGTATCTTTCCTGTCATGACATTAAAAGTTTTTTTTTATTTATCTTTATCTATTTTTATTTTTAGATTTGGACCACTTATTTTCTCAGATAGGACTGCTGTATGGACTTGTTCATGATGAACTGTGAGTTATTGGCCACATGCAGTGCACTGGGTTATCTTGAAGGAGATGTTTACCACAAAGAACCAGACTGCCTTGGTAATGCTTAGACCTTTAAGACAAAACTGCAGGAATTTCAGGAAAATGTGTTATGCATTTTGTCTACTGAATTGTGTATTTTGAATATGATGATTGTGTCTTATGACACACTCATGGTTGTGATTTATTTATTATAGAGAGTGTGAAGGATTTGATTCGTTACTTGAGACATGAGGATGACACAAGGGACATCAGGCAGCAGCTGGGAGCTGGACAGATTGTTCAGAATGACCTCTTACCCATCATCACCCAGCACACGCAGGACAAACCGCTCTTTGATACCTGTATCAGGTGTTTGAGCTCATTGTTTTTTTGATAAGATATTTCTGTATAAAAGCTATAAAATAGCTGCAATTCTAATGACAAATTATTAAAATGATCAAATCATGTAAAATAAGGCATGACTGTTTCAAATATTTCTCAGGCTAATGGTTAACCTGACCCAGCCAGCGCTGCTCTGCTTTGGAAAAGTTCCTGATGATCCGGCCTTCCGACATCACTTCCTCCAAGTGACGTCATACCTTCAGGCCTATAAAGAGGTATAAAGGCCCGTTCACACAGAACAATAACTCTATTAGCATCTACACCAGTGGTTTTCAAACTTTTTATGGTCACTTCCCCCTTTAAACCTTTAAAAATCTGGCACACTTACCTCACCACAGACCAAATAATTTCACTAAAAAGTATGAAAATTGAAGGATTTAAATTTAATTTTTTTAAAATCTCGTGTTTGTTGGTATCTCGCGTGCCGTCGTCGTCATCTTGTTTGAATTGTGAGCGGGATTGCACATCAGGGGCACCGTCGTCATCCAGCCGTCCAATTGGCGCCTTTAGCGTTCTTCCTTATTCAGGATGAAATGAAATTTATTTCAAGAAAATAGTTGCTTATAGGATTTAGCCTCCTCCATGCATCCTTCTTTTTTTGTCCTTGGCCGATCACATGCCTGAGACAGCTTTTAGACATCTGATTGTATCTAGTGTTGATCCATTGATTGTGTTGCTGTTGAATAGGGCTGCAACAAATGACTATTTTGATAATCGATTAATCTGACGATTATTAGAACCATTTGTTGACTAATCCTCGATTATTTTACTGATTAATCGGTAGGCTTTGATTGATTATTCAGATTTAGCTATTTGTTAAAATACTGAGTTATACATAATTCAATACATATTCTTATGCATATAAAGAATCTTTATAGCAGAAAGTCAAGTTGTAATTCTAACTAAAAGCGACACTGTTAAGTGTTTCCCACAGACTTACACTCTATGTGTGGGGGCACTTCCCCTGGGGAAAATATTTATGTATATGTAAATATAAAACGCAGACAGGCTTATTGAAAGTGCAAATTCATTCTCTGTCAGCAGGAGGCGCTTTTGGAGTGGCAGAAAAAGCGGATTCCCCGGAAACGGCTGTAATCAAAGCAGTGCTGCGTCATAAACGCTACTTTATCAGGCATTATAGGAAAGATTAAATGAAAATGACATCAAAACTTTTCTGAAGACGATCGGTTCCCTTCAAAATAGATACATTTATATAAAAACACACGTGCCGCGTTTTGATTTTGAAACGTGCAGTGCTCATGTTTATTCAACGAAGTCAAAGCCTTTTGGAAAATCTATTTGTGGCGGTCGGTGTTGATATTGTGGCGGGCCGCCACAAATAAATAAATGGATGGGAAACCCTGCTGTTTTTTTTCATGTTTAACACTTTAAAGCTGCATGCTTTAAAGAGTTATATAAATAAACATGACGTGACTACTGGATTGTCCATTGCAGAGCTGGTGCAAACATGTCCACATCACTATGATCAGATGCTTTCTTAACGGCTGTTTTCCCACACTGTCATTTTTGTTGTGTGTTTATTTTGTTGTGTCTTTGCACATGACAGAATTTTTTGTTTGTAGTTTTGTAAAAACATCTCTTCTTCTGTTGGATTGCAGCCAGGAGGGTTGAATTACAGTCTTACGCTACAGCACCACACTTCTCAAACCACGTTATTGCAGGCCCTTACATTAGGTCATAAGAGATCACGTGATTATTCAACAACAAAAATATTTGTCGACAATATTTTTGTTTATCATGTCGACTAATCGTTTCAGTCCTACTGTTGAAGGTGAGTTGCAAGTTCGCAATAGCGTCTTGTGATGTGGGTGCTCCCCATATTTTGAAAACCACTTGTCTACACCAAGGCACAATAACATTTTGGTAATTATAAGCACATGCTGCTATTATGTCGTCTGACACTTAAAATGTTTGAGCACTTCAAAGCAGGATAGATTCTGATTGGCTGTCAGTGGTTTTTATTGTTCATCAGCTTTAAAAAATCATTTTCAAATTGATTCCAGCAATATTGTTCCTCTGGGCCATTTATCATTATAGTTGTGGCATGAACTATTAACTGCTATTCTTTTAAATTTAGAATTTTTTTAAAAACAATATCTTTGTTATAGTTATCGTCTTTAGTCTGAAGATATGCTGATTTATAGTCAGTATCATGACTCAATGCTAAGTATTTTTGTAGTGCAGCTTTTTACTTGCCCAGCCAAATGTTTACTTAATTAACTTCACGGTTCTCGATACCAACTTAAGTATCATAGCAAAAAGTTCTAGCCTAACTAATATAATACAAAGTTCTCAAGCAATTGCTGAAGACAAGTTAACAGTCAAACATACAAAAAAGAAACAAATGACAAGCAATAGAACAGATATAGCTGCAAGTAGCCATGATGGCTGAAGCAGAGGTGTCAGCACCACCCAGTGGCATTAGGTAAGCAATGCACTGTGGGCGCATGCATTCATGCAGGTAAATATAAGAGAATTGTATTATTCTATTGTATGTCACACTTTTTGCAGCCAGCTGGTGGCACTGTGGCTCTTAAATAGTCATATCCATGTGATTAGCCCACTATCAAACATACAACACCAATTTAAAGGGGTCATATGATGCAGCCCTCTATGAACACCTTGGCAATTGAATCGCCATTGGCTAGTAAATTTTTTAGTTTACTCGCCAGACTGATAAATAAATAAATAAATAAATAAATATATATATATGTTCGTTTGTAAAATGGCACAGTTTTATAAATATCTGAAAGTACACTCTTAACATCAGTCAGTCAAGCATTATAATATGATAATCAATATTAT